CAAAAAAAAAAAAAAAAAAAAAATGGACTGTCAACTTCCCCTTTTTATGGTGCTTCTTCCAAAAGTTGTGGTGCTCTATAAATCTTGCAGATCTGCCAGACTCAGGGCCTAAATTATTTTTATTGTAGTAAAATAAGTGTAACATAAAAATTTACCATTTTAACCACTTTTAAATGTACTGTTCAGTGACATTAAGTACATTCACACATTGTTGTACAACCATCCATCTCCATAATTCTTTCATCTTCCCAAAATGAAACTCCATATCCACACTTAATAACTCCCCATTCCACCCTCTCTCCAGTCCCTGGTAACCATTTTACTTCTTGTCTTTATGAATCTGACCAATCATATAAATTGAAATTTTGTTTAAATCCATCCATAAGGCTTAAGGGCATCTGCCATTTTCATTGTCTATCCAGTGTACACACACACTCACACAGATACTATTACTATTGTAGCTAAGAGCCAGAGACCCTTTTCCTTTGCAAAACAGAAGACAGTCACCTTCTTCTGACTAATTAAGCCTCAGTAATTCTATGGAGGGAACAAGGGAAGACTTGGCATTGAAGGTCTAGCAGAAAGCTGGATATCTTGGGGGATCCAGAAATGGTAGGTACACATTAACAGGTTCTTCTTAAGATTTTGGCCTGAGCAAAGGTGTATCCAGCTCATGGTTCCAAAGGCACCATCTAAGGCAACTAGATGCCACAAGGTACCTACAAAAAGGAAAATTAAAGTAGATCTTGGTGAAACCTACAAGAGGAAATGCCAAGCCGTGTGAGGTAGTTTAAGCAAGATGAGACCCTGATAAGCTCTCCCAAGCTTTCTCATGAGAGTGGTCCCCCATAATCTGCTACAGATAATAAATACAGAAAGGCCTTATATGACCTGGTTAACATCTTAGCAGCAAGGCACAGGATATGACATAGCAAGAGATGGATCCCAGTGATAACAGCAACTACCATCTACTGAGTACTTACTCTGTGCCAGAAAAACTTTACTAGATGCTTTAAGCACATTGTCTCATTTAATCTTCATAACTCCATGGAATATAGATACTGGTATTTCTCCCTTTACACAGAAAACTTAGATCTGAAATAAACGTGACGCACTCAAAGTCACACTGTTTGTAGATTCACTCCAAAGCCCATACTTTTAATTAACAGCCATTCAAAGTAGAAGGTATTTTCATACCCTCATGGCAAAGAAATTCACTAGAAAACTCCTGGCTAAAAATTCCTAATGCTTAAAAACAGCCCCAATTAAGCTTCAGCAAGTTAAGTGTGGAACAAGCACCAGATTCAGGATCTCTCCAGTCTCTAGAGGTTGGACATGTGATCCTAGGCCAGTCACTCGGCTTCTCTGGCCCTTGGTTTCCCAGGGAACTTGTAACACAGGCTACTTCCCTCTGTTCTCCACCAGCCACAAAGCATTCCATGGGATCAATTACCCATGTTGAGATAGTAAAACTGATATCCAAGGATGAACCTGTGGGCCAAAGGTTTCAATCTCCTCCCTCACCAACTTTTTTTTTAGTCAGAACGTCTCATGAAAGTTATTAATCAGCAAATAACTCTCCAGCAACTGCTGTTGTGCAGCATTTAGAAGTCACTGTTCTTGCCCTTGAGGGCCTGTTTGGGACTTGTAAGTCGTATTAAATAAAAGCAAAAAAAAAAAAAAAAGAAAAAAAGCTCTAACTAGAGGTATTAGAATTCAGAAGAACATCAGCAAGGACCAGAAAAGTCAAGGTTTCCAAAGACAAAGTAGAGTATTAAAACAACCCTGATAGAGAACTTTTGGAAAAAAGGAAAGGAAAGGCATCCAGCAAAAGGAACTCTGGGAACTAAAGCTATGAGGCTGAATCAAGTAATGTATGGGATTAGTGATCATGTAAGAAACCAAAAGAACTCTTAGTGGGTATATGAGTGAGCCATAGAAATGGAGACAGGAGTCAGAGTTTAGAAGACTTTAATGCATGGCATGGTGAGTGGCACTTACAAAAGGTAGTGAACTGCATGAGCTAGTGAACACTGGAAGCTACTCAATTTAGATTTCTTATCTACTCTCTACCTCTAGTAGAGGAAAAGCAAAGGAACATGAGCAATCAGATGTTCTAGACCAGGAGTCCTCAAACTTTTTAAACAGGGGGCCAGTTCACTGTCCCTCAGGTTGGAGGGCCAGACTGCGGGCCCCAGGACCAGTCGGCTGCTAAGCAGGACAGGCAGCGGCAGCGAAAACACCCAGCAGGCCAGATAAATGTCCTAGGCGGGCTGCATGAGGCCCACGGGCCATAGTTTAGACATCACAAATCCCAGCTGAGGGGCACTAGGGTGTTGAAGAGCAGCAGAGGTCCTTGGGAGCAGGGACTCACTACATTTCTGAACACAGAACTGGGAACACAGAGTCCAAAAATGCTTGATCAGCTACTGGTAGGCTCATATTGACCTCTCAACCCCAATATTCCACTGCTCAAGTAAATAGGTGTGGTCCAGAATCTTTAAACTATAACACATCACCTCTGTCCTCTGATAGCTGCCAGACAAGTGAGAGAAAGTAAGGATACTGCCCATCTCTTCCCCATGCCTAGGAAATAGTCTTCAGACGTTCTGTTGCCCAGAAACCTAGATAGAGTTCAACACTAAGCCATTGCTTCAAAGAGCACCCAGAAAGAGGCTGCACCAGTAGTACACTCAGTCTGAGAAGTCCCAGATGCTTCCTGTGGGAGTCATATCAAGAAACACAGTCCCTGGGGGCTCTTCAGACAGGAAGATGAGATGACACCCAACCACCATGCCAGTTCTAATAGAATATAGAGATGCTTAATCACATCACTCTGTCCCATGACATACAGAATCAAGACAACTCATGCAAAAGAAAGTATTGATTGAGGTACTCTTCAAAAAGTATTCATTTAGTTGAGCCAGTTATCACTTAACCAGCCAGTTATTGTCTGCATCAAACTGGCAACTCAGAGAAGCAACCTTCCCCTCAGTGGTGCAATGACCCCTCCCTGCAGTCTTCTTTCCTTAAAGAAATGGTAAACCTGGCTCGGGGCCTGTGGCTTAAGTGTTTAGAGGCGCCAGCCACATACACC